GACAGGCGGTTGGCGGCAGACAACTCTAGTGGCCGACAATATTTTACATCAAATCGTGTATTTTAAATTTACTCAAATCCAATGGATTTCAAATGCATTAAAATGAATGAAGGAATGAATTCCAAATGCATTGCTATATTACATTGTATTTGAAATTCTTCCTACCAAATCACTGGATTTCCAAAACTTATGCAATGCAATGCAGTCTTTTTGCAGCTGACCAAACAACGCCTAAATGTGGTCTTCCTTTGGAATGCTAGCATTTTACCGTCTAATTTACCCCGGTAGTTCTTGGGATGAGAAAGAAGTTAATAAAAAGCTTTGAAATTTGTGTCTAATTAGACTAAACTATAACAAAATTTAGACTAAGTGGGACGGTAAATATAAAATAATTAAGAAACCCTACTTCTACTATCACAATGAAAATGTTGAATGATGGTATGTGTCAGCATTGTATTTATTCATTTTTAATTTTATTAAAGTATGCCTTCCGATGTATTTTATTTACATTTTTTAGAACAAGGCAATGAGATGGCCCTTTATGCAAAATCATAGCTACTCAAGTGGGTTTGTAATTCTTTCTGGCTAAGGATTGCTCTAGATTGATGTGTAGGTCATCCTGAGATGTGTGATCCCCTACTAGTTAGCCCACTAATAGTGGCAGATTACCAATGTGCGCTTAGAAATTTAAGTGTAAGGCTTGACCCATATTAGCCAAGCCTGACTAGAAATTATTAGGTTGAAATTAATTACGTTAAAGGTCTTTAGTAAAATGAGTGACTAGTAGTCTGTTGGAGCATCATACAAGACTCTATTCCCTGAAAAGATTCAGTTCGAGTAATTTGTATTAAATTTAATGATATTTTATTTTGAATATAAAAAAAATTGATTTTACTAGAAATTCTGAAAAGTTATTTGAATATTTGAAACTCAACATATTCAAATGTCATGAAGAAATTCTCAAAATCCTGTTTCGACTTTAAGATTTCAAAATTGATGTTTTGAAAAGGTTAAATTCAAGTCAATAGTCAACCTCAAAGTCAAAATGAAGCTCTTTTATCTCAATTAAATGAATATTGAGGGAATATAGGAAATTATCACTAATAAGTGAAATTAAACTAAGTTGACAATCTTCTGAACTCCTCAAGTCAAATTAATATGTATTAGTAAATATTCTGGCTATTTTATTTTAATTATCACCAATAAGTGAAAGACCAAAAACAATGAATGCCAATGTAAATCTATTCTTTACTATTGGCATTTTACTTGCTAATTTATCCATGCAGTGCATGCAATGCACAGGATGAGAAATAAATTAATAGAAAAATTTAAACTTATATGTTGTTGGTATAAACTTTAACCAAATTTCTAACAAAATGTGTTAGCAGATATAAAATAAATAAGAAATCATACTTCTAATATCTCAAAGAAAATTTTGAATGAGTATGACATTATCAATTGTATTTGTTCATTTGTAATATTTTTGAAATATGCCCTCCACGTGTTTAATTTGGCCTTTCTAGTTTTCACTTTTAATTTTATCCACATTTAAATCATTAATTTTATTGAGGTCAATTCTTTATAGGCTCGACTCAGCACCGTTATACAAATATTTAGATTTGTACAAAAGAAATTTTTGAATTAAGGAATCTATCACCATAATTTACTGTCGTGCTTACATGTTAAAGTCTTAATAAAATCCTTTTTGAAGAAAAAGTTATGATATTATTGTTATGATTTAATATTACAAAGATATTATAATATATGAGAACTTAAAAAATTATAATTGTTAGTCTTGATGTTGTTGGAAATTTGAAAATCTAAATTGAAGACTGTAGCATTAATAAATATGGTAATGATATTTCAATTATATGGATTATGTTTTTCATGTATTAATGGAAAAATCATTTTAATGAAATTTATAAAATCTGTCATTTAAAAATTGTTTTAATATATATGTTGTGGTTTAATATTATTAAGCTACAATGTGTATGAAAACTATAATAGTTGCTCCTGTTCGATTTTTGAAAAAAAAACTAAGCATTTTTTATACATGATAAAAGACAAAAGTAATAAAGACATTTATGTCATACGTTTTCAATGCAAAATTGCTTGCATAAATTAATGTTGGGTTCCACCTTGTTGAAAAGTCTAAAGCAATAAAATTTTGTGCATAAGAGCTTCAAATAAAATATAAAGGCGCTTTAAAACCATCTAGCTACTCAAATTGCATCTTTGCTAAGCTTTATTTGGTTTTAGAGGCACATTCAAGGTATTTCTCTGTAACCATTGTTATTGATATTATATCTTATGAATGAATTTTCCTTAAAAATGTTGGAAAGTTCACTTGTAAGTATGGTTAGAACTAATTATGTACCCAAAACTTAAAAATTTATTGACAATCTCCAAACTCAACAAGTTCCACATTTCTGCATGAAATTCTTGTTTTCTTAAGTATTTTTGTCATCATTTCGTCTCTATAACTAGGGTTGTAAGTGGTCTTGATTTGGTAATATTATAAGTTTTGGTTCGAATTGAGCTTTAGACGAGCTTTCACATGTATGCTCAAGATTGACTTGTTTAGATTGTTTTTCTTAATACTTGAACTTGATTTGTTTTTAATTTATTTATGTTAATCAAACAAGTATTTAAATAAGTTAATAAAAAAACCAATAATTCAAATAAGTGTCTGGGTTTTCATGTAAATTTTCTACAAATGATTTTACTAATCTAAATAAATAAGCAATTGAATAAAATTTGAATTGGTATCTAATTATTTTAGCAATTAAATAAGAAAATATTTTAATAATAAATATATTCATATCAAATCACTTATATCATTCATAACTTAGGTAGAGGCAAAATGAGATTTTAGAAAATTATGAACGGGAAAATATGGGCTTGAACGAGGTAACATTCTGGAAAAGAAAAAAAAAAGAGTTGAGGGCCTGAGACTATCGATTGCTGAGCGAATCACCATATGAAGATGAGGAAAATGATTAAATTTATATAATATTTAATAATTAATGTGAATCTTATTATTAATAAATTGATATTCTATATTAATATGATGATTAATTAATTAATATAAAAAATGTTATGGATTGAATATGTTGGATATTTACGTGTTAATTATTAAATTAGGTTAATTAATTAATATATATTAATAAAATAAATATATAGTTAATAATTAATCTTATAATAATATTGATATGATAATATATTAATATTAAATATATAATTAAATAAGTTCTAGCTGATTAAATTTTATTTAAATAATATATCATAGATGATATAAGTTATCATTGAGCATTTAATAAGTTATTTGCTGAATAACAAATTAGTTTGTCCATGAACATAAATAAATAACTTAGACCATATTTATGTTTAGTTCATTTAACCATTGAGCTTTTAAAAAATATTCAAGTTTGTTTATTTACTAATTTAAATAAACATGATGGAGTATTAATTGAACCCAATTTTAGTTGTTTATCGAGTGCATTGGTTCATCTACAACCTAATTTTTAAATGAATTATAATTGAATGTATTATTATATTTGCTAAAAATAATTATTTGATGGGGTTTAAATTTTGCAAATTAAATGACTATTGTATGTACATAAGCTATGCATACTAGTTTTTTGCGGTAACCAAGTTTTGATTTGTGAGTTTGCTTCAAGAGCAACGTTAACAAGGTTCTAAAAAATGTTCCCACAACCCTTGTTTGCTTTAAGAACATTGTTTTGCTTCATACTAGTTTTCATTGTAAAACTGAAAATAAATTTAAAAAAGATTTGGCGGTAACAAAGTTTTGATTTGTTAATTATCTGTTTGAACAAATTCTATAAAAAAAATAGGCGAGATACGTCTAAATGATCTTCAGAAAATATTTTGTGGGAACAAAGTTTATTTTTTTTCTGTCATAGTATTTCTCTACTTAAAATGATCCCATATTTATATGGGTATCATTCATAACTTAGGTAGAGGCAAAATGAGATTTCAACAAATTATAAACGGGGTAGACTGATTTCTTTCTGCTGTTTGAATTATCTGGTTTTGTTGTCTGAAGATCACTTTACCGTATGATGTTCCACAATTGGCTGAAGCGACAAGGAACACAGCAGCTATTTATTTGGCATGTGGTGTAGATACCTTGAAGGTATATTAGATCTGCAGTTCATTGTTTTTTGTGCTGCCTTTGGTAAATTTCAATTTTGCTAAATGGCAACCATTTCTTTTGAACTTGACACAGGCTTCTGTATTTGTACAGTCACATGTTCACGCGCATTTAGAATTAATGTGGCTATTGTGTTCTGACACACCAACTGGTTGGTTGAATAGAATGATCCAGTTTAAAGAAAAATCACGCAAGGCGGTGCGTTGCTGCTGTACGACAATGTGATCTCTGTTTTAATTTTCATTTAATTAATTACTTTTTCTTTGTTGAATTGCAATTAAATTGTTTATTGAGAAGCTAAATCAAATACAACCAAATTCCAAACAGCAATACTTTTGTAAGAGCTATCACATGCTATGATCCATCTTAATTTTCTGTCCTGTCAGTTATTTTAGAGTAATGATGCAAATGTGCATTACGCAAATCAGCTCATTTGGTTTTGTCATTGTAGCTGATTTTTTGCCTGTTTTTGGGAATTCGTTGGGCTAATTACTTTCGGAAAGCCCTTCACATTCAGCATCTTCATTTGCCACTGGGAAGACATTTAATATTTCAAGGATTTATATTTATCCTATGAATGTTTTCATACAAATCTATTGTTTGGCGGCTTTCGATGATTTTTCTTCAAAATCACCTTAAGATTCAAAATCTATTTCTCCCTGATCTAATATGACTTCATTTGTTTTCTTTAGAAATGATTTCACATTTTTCTTGATAATGTTTAGTAATCATATAATCCATTGGAGGTTCAACTACCGTCTCTCAGAGTCGCCGTCATTAATCAAATTATAATAGAAGACAATGCCAAACTCAAACTTCCAGAATTAGATAGTCTCAAAGGAAAACGATTATAAGCACAGTAAAATCTAGAACTGTATCATGCAAGGATGCATTCCTTCTCATAATTATTTCTATCTCTTCATATACCCATCCATATGCTCTCCAAAATGCTCTAAATATAATACCTTATCCTTGGTATAAATAACATTATTCAATATCCCACGGTCTAAATGAAAGTATGAAACTCGTTGAGTTGAGTTTAGTAAATTTATTTGAACTAAGTGAATCCGAAGAAAATCGTGATGCCGGAACGAGGGAACCGTGGGATCCTATCATTAAATTTGCAATGTGACAATTGAAGATGGGAAGATTGATTATGTAGGAGATGAGAGGCAAATATGGTTAGTGATGGTGATTTGCAATTTTACACTCATTACAAATGTCTTAACAGAGAAATGATCTGAGCAAGTTTAGTTTATTTTATTAGTTGCTAGTTGTTTTATTTTATGTTTTTAAACTTCAATTTACTTTTATGGTCATGCCTGTGATGATGTACCTATGAAAATATTTAGCATATCTATATGACTACAAAACTTACATCTTTTTAATTTCTAATAACCAATTTATTTTATTTACCTACACCCTGTTCTGATCTACAAATAATAACAAAAGTACCTCCGATGACTTCATAGAGGGTTGAGGGATTTTCTGGCACCATAGAGTGCCAAGTTATCACAGTCGATGACTTGAACAAGTTGTTGGCGAATGAGAGGGTGAAATGGAACCAAAAGATATCGATGTAGGAACCAATTCGGTTGACGGGTGTAATAACTGAAAAAAAAAGAATTTTTAACTCATAACGTTGGTTCAAATATCAACCATCTCAACAGTTTAGACAGTGGGAGACAAATAAGATCGTCTGCATTCAAACTAGTAGGAAGTGCAGAGATTAAACTGAGGAGAGTGAGAAACAGAGTAGACCGCGTGCATCTTATACCCTGCTGTCGATGCTAGGATCATACACGAGCTGAAATCAAATGTGACTAAAGAGTTTCATTCATTGAAAATGCTAAAGGAGAGGCGATTTGAGGCAAAGACTTGCTAAACTATGATGAGAAAGCCGATTGAATGTTTCATGTCGGAATTGGTGTGAGAGTAAAGAGCCAAGCAGGAAAGCATGTCAATTGTGTGTGTGTAAAGATCAGGTCGTCGCTTGTGGTTGACAAGCCAATGTCGGCGCTGTTTGTTGGAAGTGTGCGCTCAGAAGGTGAGGTCGAAACCTAGTTGTGTCGATGAACAGGTTACCGCGCACGAAGGAAGAAGGGATGGATAACATGTGGGAATGAGATTAACCCAAAAAGGTACGACTAGGGTTTAATTTTTTTACTTTTTTTAGAATTTTGTTTATGTAGTTGAACTGTATTTAAATCATTATTTTGGGATTTTATTGATTTTGCCAGAAATTAGAGATGGAAAAATATGTAGATTGGAATTGAGGAGAGTTGAGGACAATGAAGGAAAGGGTATAAGATAAATGATGTTGAATTTTTTAATTAATTTATTTAGATTTAATGTTAATTAAAATATTAATATTAAATTATATTAATATTATAAATTAAACTCATGGATTGAAGAGCATTTGATTCAATATGAGATTTGGATTGTAGAATGTGCAAAGAGGAAAATTAAGTGAGTTAAGGTCAGTTTAGGATTTTATTGCTTATTGTAAATAATTATTTTAATTGAAATTTATTAATTATTTAATATTATGAATTAATGCCAGGAAGCCAATAATTGAAGAATATTTGTATTGAAAGACTATAAGGAAACAAGATCATTAGATTGACAATAAAAAGAGAGGGAGAAATTGAGGTTAAGTCCTACTCATGTCTTTTTTAAAAGATAATTAAATGCTTAAATTGATGTATATTTTTAAAAGACCTTATTGAATTTAATTAAAACCTCACTTTGGCCTTCCTCTATATGCAAGAACCAATCTGATTAATCAGACCAACTACTATATTAATAAAATTATAAAGTCAATCTAACAAAACTTATTAGTTGGCCTAGTATCAAGACTTTTGTAATCATTTAAGACCCAAACTAAATCAACCTGCTCCTATGATAACAAATCTATCAATCAAACCACTAAAATTAAACCAACAAAATCTTATGTATTTTAGACATGTTTGTTTGAGTAAAACCAAAGCTTGTGTCCATCTGATGGCCATATGACGCATCTTTGCTTTTGTCAGTCATTTCCCATACTTCTGAATCGCAATAGAACTTGTTTTATGCATTTGAATTATTCAATAAAAGTGGCATGACTAGCCCTCTACTAGTAAACGAGTTAATGTCGACATTGTAAACACTTCTTTGACACTTCCACATGGTTTGCTCAAAAAACTTAAAAGAGTAAATAAGCCATTACTGACACTATTGTTAATTAATTCTCTGAGCATTATGGTTCAAAGCTCTCAATTGTTGGCAGACTGGGTTCACGGTATAAGTGAAATGGCAGAACCTATATTAGGTTATAATTTCTCTCAAACGCAAATGTCAAATTTAAGTCTGAATTTTGAGCCTAAGCAACTGCTTTGTAGGGAGTACTTCAATAAATGTTGGAGGGGTGGGGTTTACGGCTATAAGAAACCCCTTATATGAATAAACCTTAATCCAAATGTTACAAAATCTAGTTAAAATTACTCTATTCCTTACCGAGTTCTTTTACACATTCAGATGGCTCATGGGATAGGGTGGTTTTTCCCGAGTGATCAGAGAATGGGGCATGTTTTCTATAAGGCTGATTTTTAGTTCTTTTGCTATTGGTTCACTGTGGTGATTGTTTACATGTTTTAATGCTCTCTTAGTTTGTTGCAACTGGATGTATGTTTGGTTCTTATAGCTTTTACTCCTTGTTGCTCATAGTTTCATCACCTGACCATAGCTCACTTGTACCTCATGGTTTCAATTCGCCTTGTTTTTCATTGGTTTATCAGCTGCATCGAGTAATTCTTATGTGAGTTTGAGATATTTTAGTCTCAATTCTTGTAGTTGGACGCAGTATACCTGGATCCCTGCTTATTCTTTGCTTAGATTTTTTGATTTTTTTTGCTATGGAAGGTATTGAGATTTGCCTCTGGCTTTTTGCCGTTATTCCACATCTACATCCACCTGAACTATCTGGAGTTTTGAGTTGTGAAATTGCCAATCCTTTATGAAACTTGGTTTTAAGTTTTCTATGGAACTTTTATAACATGGTTTTGTTCAAGAGGAAATTGTTCTCAAGTTCTTGGGGCTTTTATCACTATTACGGCCTCATAATTCTTTTTCATTGAGTTATTCACTATATAATTAATGTAACTAAAATATGGCTTAGTATATATATATATAACACCTAAACTTTTTCATTTACAAATATAACTCCCAAATATTTAATACTACATCAAACATATCACTATTTATTTTTTAAAAGTGAAATAGATCTTTTCATGTATAGGCTATGCCACCAAATAGTTATAAATGTAAATATCAAACTTTAGGTGTTTGATATGCAAATGCATAGGAATTATGTGGTATGAATGTAAAATTTCACATCCATAAACCATCAATGCATGGACGAGACTCATGCACAATTTTGGTGAACTAAAATTATTGACATTATAAGGCAAGGATGCCCCCATAAAAAGTTGATTATCTATATTTATATCACATACATGCCTAATAAAAATAACTACTAGCACATTCATGGAAATTAAAACTATGGACTTATGGTCGAGTATAAAACATAATATTACATGAAAGTGACTATGATATTAGGTTTGTTTTTGTAAGGCTTTGTTTGGTGTTTTTTGGAAACAAACTCATGCTGAAACATTGAATAAGGCTTGATCATCATCATAAACCTTGTCCTAATTGTTTGAGATTGGCTTTGTAATCTATTTTTTTCTTATAAATTTATTCATTTTGAGCATTGCAGAAAAAAAAAAAAATCTCTGCAATGTCCTTGAGCACTATTCATATTAATTAATTTTACCAATTTTATTCCTAATGCTTTAACAATTATTTATCTACTCATTTATTGAGTCTATTTTGTATCTTTTGTTATGCATGTTTAAATTTATTTTTAATTTTATTTTTTGCAATAAATGTTAACCCAATCATCTCTTAATATAATCATACCATAATTTATTCTTTATTGGGTTTGCTTTAGCTCAAAAAAATGGTAGTAGAATTGAATCTTGCTAGGAATTTGAGAAATGTGAATCCAAAGACAATATGCATGATTTGAACCCGCGACCTCATGGTGGTAACCTGTACCCTCAATGATTATGTCACGGGTAAGTGCACAATGTTGTTTGGAATACCCATAATATAATAAGTGAGTCCCTATAATTTTGGATGAGTAAATCCTCACTTAGCTCATGTACTTCTTCTTTTATAGTAATGATTATATAGGAATTTCTTTAATATAATCATTACTATGAAAGAAGAACTACATGAGCTTAGTGAGAATTCAATCATCCAAAGTTATAGGTACTCACTTATACTAAGTGGGAATTTACTCACCATAATATTAGGGACTCTCCAAATAAGAGGAACCTCTCACTCTTACCTTTTTGCTCTCATCAAAACCTTTTCATATTTATAATGTAGTATGCGAGCTTATAAATAAAGTCTTAGCCAATTAAATGAGTGGTTTCTGCCTTGTTGGGTGGTTAGTGATCATTGGGAAGAACAATTTATTCCCAATGGATCATCAATTTCATCTTTTTCGAAGAAAATTGGCCTCAAATATGATGTTTGACTAAACACCTTCCCCATTATTGTCAATCAATGCCCATTGGAGTGCTTATCCAAGAAATGGTGAATCCACTTTGATACCAATATGATGTAGCCCAAATAAACAAAGTAAATTGAAAGTTGATAGGAATTAGATAACTTTACTAGGATAGAAAACTTTTATGATGGGTATGATCATAACTATTCCAGTGCTTTGGATTCTATTAGAACTTCGTAATGGACTGTGCTTTGGCAGGAGTAGTGCTATGATGGGTGATCTATTAAGAATGTCTCGTGTCGAATCCCTTAGAGTAAAAAAAAGAAAGACAAATTATATTAAATAAGTGGGGACTCACTACTTAAAACTATGGGGGTTCTCACTCACTCATAATGAACAAGGATTCGCTCACCTACGAACACTTAAGTTACCAATAGTTATAGTTCATTAGTATTCTTACTTACTCATCTTAATATTCTCATTCATGCTTCACTTAATGTCCAAACTTAAATTGGCTCAATCAGGGCCATAATGTAATCAAATTTTCTTTTTTTAATGCTACACTAGGATGGCCAAATGGACAAAACAGTTCTATTTGAATTAATATTTCAATTCATGCTCTTAACTTATTTTGAATCATCAAGCTTCTAAGGGTTCAGAATGGTGTCTTTTAATTATGATCAAGTTCTTCACTTATTGGACATGACTTTGATGGATTTTGAGTGTCAATTGCTAAAAATTAGACATCTTTCTTTTTTAAGATTAGGGAATTTAATTTTAAGGCCAGTTATTGCAAATTGTGCATATTTCACGTTTATTTACTTTTTAAATGTGATGTTCAGTTACTGCAAAAATTACATATTTCACTCAATGCAAGGAATAATTAACTAGAAAGCATACAAGTAAGAAGTTGTAATTTGTTCTGTTCTATTAGTATTTACTTGAACATATAATTTCCTGATGCTTTTATAGGATTTTTTTTCAGCAGCATATGACTGTTCTTCCTAGGTAAGTCTTGAGTATGACACTTTTTTTTTAAAGGGCGATGAAAATGTTGGAGCAGCCCTTCTAACATACCCTGTCTTAATGGCTGCTGATATTCTTCTTTATCAGGTAGAGCTATCCAAGTTTCTCATCTCTGTTCTGTTCATTCTAAATGGGCTTTCATTTGTGTCCTAGCCATTTGAATTCACTCATTTGTCATTTTAAATTAGGTTCCAGTTCGAATTTTTTGCGTTCATTCATTGTCATGTGTTGCTGATTTGGTACTGTAACAGTCTGATTTTGTGCCTGTTGGGGAGGATCAGATGCAGCATCTTGAACTAACCCGTGAACTGGCTGAGAAAATGAACCACCTGTATGGAGGACGGAAATGGAAGAAATTGGGAGGGTGGGGTTTTCTTTTTCATTGCCAACTGATAGAAGTTGATATGGTTGCTTGTTTCGACCTTGATCCTGATACTATTCTCTGAATGCAGGAAAGGCGGTGCACTCTTTAAGGCATGTCTCGCTCCTTTCAGTTTCTTGACTTTTACTCAAGAAGATGCAGATCTGCTCATTTGCTTTCTAAATATTTTAATCCTAGTTTCACTGTACGTAATGTAGGTCCCTGAAGCTCTTATTCAGCCAGCAGGTGCTCGTGTTATGTCTCTCACAGATGGTCTTTCAAAGGTAATCAAGGACACTTAGTTTTGGAGGAGACCCTTATATTCTCTTATGAATGCTCTTCCTTCGTCCAAATAGAGCGTCTCTTATTATCTTTTACTAGACTTTAAGGCATAAAATGGCCATGAACGCCATTTTAGTTTTGAATTGCATGTACATATTTTCCTTTATCCTAAATAGCTTAAATGAAAATTATAAAGATTATTTACTCACCCTTGATATAATAAGGTGCTTTTTGAAATTCTTCTCCTATTAATTTAATGATGGTTACCCCATAGATGTCAAAGTCGGCTCCTTCAGATATGTCTCGTATCAATCTTCTGGATCCAAAAGATGTAAGTGAGATATGCTTCAACCTTGTTTATCTTGCTACTGTTTCTATTGAATGTTTGAAACATATCAATAAAACATATTGCTGATGGAATTGTATTTTATAATTATTATCATCTAGGCAAGAACACATTCGATCTATTGAATTATCCAAATAGTTACAGGTAGTTAATAAGTTTGAAGGTAGTTTAATTGCCATAAAAATAATAGTCTTCGTAATTCACCTTTTTGTTGCAGTTATCAGATTTTTTTTTTTTGTTTTTCTAAGTTTTTTTCTTTATATGGTGCTGAATTTTTCCTTATTCCCACCGAAAGTGCACATTAGGGAGCGGTTCCCTCTTATTTAAGTGTAGCTTGGTGATCCTTTAAAAAATGAAATGCATTTACCAAGCTTGTCAATCATGGAAAATTTCAACATTTTATTTTGTAAGTTTTGATGTTTATTTTTTATTACACATCTTTGTCATTAGTCGTCTATGGGCTTAAAAATTCTCACCCTGCTCTTTAATATTCAAATGAATTTGGGCAGATTTTCAAAATAGAGATTAGATATTAGATATTAGATAAGATACTAGGAGATTTTGTCTTCTAAGAAGAATTTCATTATAAGGGGAAGCTCTTAATGTTAATTGTCTCTCTTAATCTTGGGAAAGCATGTTCGATTAAGATTAGTTATCAGGATCTATAATGCATTGTTTAATAATATTAAATTAATTGTGAGACGAGATATGTCCTTGTTTCCTCAGAGTAGATACTGGGAGAAATGATGTGCCAGATCAAGATCTCATAATTCTTTCATGTCATATTTTCTTAGAGTTTGGTTTACTTATTCAAAAAAGATAGTTACTCAATGTTATTAAAGTATCATTGTTAAAATTCATGTGTCATGTCATCTAAGGAAATATGGCTGGTTTCATGCCATAATGATTGTGGCTCATATACTTAGTTTTGGGGAGCATCATATTCAGGTGTCGTAATATAATAGTGTCATTGTTACTCGGCTAGTAACCCTGTTTGAAGGTGCGTGTCACATCCTCATTGGATTGAGGTTTTGGAGTGCGATCTTATGGATATACTTGATCCGACTAACCGAATCATTGAATTTAAAATTGTCATTTCTTAGCAAGTTGGTACAAGGATGTATGCATAACTACTTTGAGCTTCAATAGGTTAATTATTGTTTTGTCATTTAAACAATCTTCCCTTCTACTATGCTTTTCCTTAAATACATATCATCATTACAAAAGATCCCGTGATGATTTATCTTGGAATTTAGGGTATTTTTATGATAGGATGATTCTTTCTTATTATGATATTATGGTAAAGGAACCCATCTTGGGAGTGACTTCAAATATTTAGTTTTATGATTAGGAGCTTGAACATGACAATAAATCATTTCAATTATGATATTTTTATAATTAAACCCATCATTAGGCTAGATATGTCCTCCCTACCTTTAGCTTTGCTGAAGGAGTTCTAGCTGTTATTTTTTTTTTTTCCGGTGACTAAAAGTAATCAAAGATGCCACAAATAAGGAATAATGCCCGTCCAGCCTGAGATTTGGTTATGGAAGGTTTACAACGGGAGATCTGTTGTCTCTAACAAAGGATAATTGTTGAACAACAAAAATTGAAAGAACACGAGGTGGATCAAGAGAACAAAATTCTTAAGGACGAATATGAAACCCCATTTCATCAAGAATCCTCAAGTTTTGATGGGTTTGGTGATCCAGTGTCCGAATCATTGTGGATACTTGTATATGATTAGCCAGTGTATGGTGAGAAATGTGTTGGAGTTCCTAGAGTGAAAAGTTCATGTGACGGCGTTTGGCAGCTTGATCTGGTGGAGTTTATTATGAAAAAACATTCAAATTAGAAGGGTTATTTCTATCACTTGTGAAATGTATGCTTCTTTAACCTCTAGGCAGTTCGAATTATCGTCAAATGATCGGTTTGATAATGACAATTCCTATTCTTTTAACCATAGAGTTCTTATTGGTTCGAATAAACTAAGTGAGGATGCTATGCTTGATTTGATTTCATTTGATACTAGCGGCATACCTGATTTAATTCCCACCAAACATGAAGAAAAGAAGCAAGTATACTACCTACCAAAATTGCAGATAATATTCAAATTGGAATGTTGGATGCGCCCGTAACTGAATCTATTGGTGTTTGGCATCTAGTTAGTGTCCCCAAAGGGGCAAAGCCTTCTCTCCATCTTTGCAGCGTAATTGGACAAATGAAGAAAACTTGGATTTTCATGGGCAAAAGCAGCCTCTTTAGGAACTTGATATGATTGTCCTACTTGGTCAACGATATTCTTCTCTTGATTATAAGTATGGATGATATTGATGGCTCCTATTTTTGGCTTGCATTAGAGGAGCATCAAATGCGGGGATTCTCTTGTGATCCTTTCACTTATTCTTGGATAATAATGTTTGATAAGATTCTAGTTCTCATATAAATTATTCGGGAAGGATTTCTAGGTTGTCATGTGCCTGAGCACTCTGTAGGGAAGAGTGATGTTGATGGTGATATGGTTTAACTGTTGCAAATTTATATTATTTTATATTGGGATCGTTAGAAGGGACATGAAGTCACAATGCTTGTGCTATACCACACACATGCTATTATGTTATCTGAATCAAATGAAAGTCTTAACTTTGTTGTTAGTAATTATGAGAGATTTTTTTCTTTCTATTGCAAAAGGCCTTCTTGGTTCATTTCAGCTTAAGAGAAATCCTTTAGTAGATTTCTTGGGGAAGCTCCATTTTTGCCAGACCCTGCATTGAGATTGTTGGAGGATGTTTGTTACTCAAGTATTTATGATCACCTTAAGAAGATATTCTAATAGTGATTGATGCACTCTGAGTTTTGGCCCTTTATGGAGTTTAATTTTGAACGGTCCATCTAATCGTCTAGTTTGCTTGAAGATTGCTTTGAAGTGTGTTGTTTATGCTAAAGAAGAAGTTAGAACAAAAACTATTGGTGGTAAATAAGCTCTATATTGTCCAATATGCCTCATAAATTATTGAGAGCTTTGCTAGAAAATTGTTGTTATCTGTTGTCAATCATCAAGTTCCAGAGGTGGAGTCTCAATGTGTGAGTTTTAGTCGGTAGAAAACTGGAAATTTTGAAGTCAGGGCTTCTAAAGTGAAGTCACGAGGGACACCCTTGCTTATTCATAGTATGCTGTATCGATGTCCTCATCCTCAAGCTCTCTGTAGAAAACATCATTATTTTTTACTCTCTGTTCAAAGAAATCAAGTCTCTTCAAACTTATTTTTAATATTTACTGAAGAGTTCCAAATGCTGTCAAGCAGGCTATTCATCGGCATGTTCCCGTGCTTTTGAGAAATGTCGGAGTATCATCAAATGAGCTAAAAATTAATTTTCAATCCACATGAAGGATGTGAAAAACTTATTATTCTAGTGTTGCAAGTTATTAGTGAAGAACAACTGATGCTGATATAATTACTGCTGTTAAGCATTTGTATGAGACTAGAATGAAGGATGCTGCGATTATGATCCCAGTACTTTCTTCTCTTTCAAAAGATGAGGTTTTACCAATATTTCCAAGGCTTCCAAGGCTTGTTGAGCTTCCAATTGAGAAATTCCAAGCTGCATTAGCTTGCATTCTTTAGGGTATACAGGTATAGCATTAATCTTTGTTGAGTTATTGAATGCAATTCATGACATCAATCCTGATAAGGATTGAGTTGCTCTAAAAAAGATAATGGAGGCTTGGATCATTGATCTTGACCTACTATGGGATTAGAGCAATTCCATTACTTTCAATGTCTCAGAGTTGTCTGCTCGTTACGAATTAGATCTAAGATTGCTCAATATGAGGGAATGTTGCCAACCCCGGGAGATTGACACTGGAATTAGAGTTTTATTTCACTTTATATGTCTTGGTTTATGTGTGTTTAGTTTGTTATTTGTGTTTCTATGTTTTAGGATGTCTTGTAATTAGGAGAGTCTAGCCTTTGTAAATAAGGGCTATTTTTTGTGTTACTTGGAGGGGGAGTTTTTTATTGGTTGTAATAATCTTTCCTATATTCTTCTGGGTTAAGAACTATATTCACTATATTGGAGTGGCCCATGTGGTGATCAACCATTTTTCTTTTAGTTAATGCATTCTTTCTCTTCCTCGTGCTGTCCAGGAATCCTCCTTTTCTGGAATTTTTGAAACTGCAGATTTCAAATATTGCCTTGTTAGGATATGATTATCCATATCTAATGAATAACATGATCATTTAATTAATTTGCACTAGCATTCGTGCTAACTCATAAATTATCGATATTGGAATCCAATAAGCGGCATCTACACATATTACAATACAGGGATATTTACATATATTTCACAAAATTTTTATATATTTAACGTCTAAATTTTGATATCACTGTCCTTGAAAATTGGCTTAAATTTATAACATATGTTTTTAAATAATAAAAAAACTGAATGAACATTTTAAAAATATTAAAAAATAGCTTTGAATTGTAAAATACAATTTTATAAACTCAAGAAAATCAGAAACTATATAATAAAAAATTAGGAGACAAAATTATATATTTTTATTTTTTTAAATAATTATTTTTTATTTTTTAAATATTTTTTTTATTTTTATTATTATTGCCAACCACGCATTCTAAATTTAAAATGAATTTTGAGTCATTGTATTAATTACCATTTTAGTAGCATTACATACCCGTGCTTTCTTCATAACCACAACAGTTTAAATCACAGTTGGTAATAAAAAAATTGTTTGCTTAAGACTAGACAAGTTTCGCAACAAAAATAGAAAGTCTTTATTGTGATGTACTGAGAAAATTGTTTTGTTTAGATGTTTCATCTCCCAACAAATTATTTGAGCTTAATTTATGATAACCATTTCTAATCCTACGAGCTATATAGTAAAATTTACTTGACCGGGGCTGAGGCATGTTCCCCCCTAGTCTTTAATCCGCCCATGTGTTCATTACATACAAACACACTCACTCACGTTGAAAATACATGTGCTGGCATTCACAATTTTTTTACTCCTGTACAAATCATGCCACCATGTCAGAATTTGAACAATACAATAGTATTTATTTAAATTGGTTGTTAATGAATGCTATATGAATTTAGGTCATTGCCAACAAGATCAAGCGTTGCAAAACTGACTCGCCTCCAGGGTTTGTAATATATATCTACTGCAATTGTTTCTCCTTTTCTATATTATATTTTGCATGATATTTTGAAGATCATGCGTGTTATTTTCTGCCTCTTTCCACTGCACATATGTGAAAATACAGTTCATATTATTTATTTAATTTCATGTTAAAATTTCTGTACTAAATTATTTATACGCATGTGATGCTCTTATATTCAGTAGGCAGTTTCTGAAATTAGTTTGGTTCCAAGGAATTTTGTAATACTACTTAGTTGAAATATTTAACTATAGATATTCTAGAGCGTGTCTAAACTTTATTTATCTTTTTAACTTGTAACCAAGTCCCTATGTTTATTTTGTTTTTGTACTTGGTCTAGCTGATATATGTAAACTAGACCAACAAGTAGAGATTAGATATATATATATATATTATGAAAAGCCCAAGGGCTGATTTTATTGAAATAGAAAAGGATACATAAAAGTTGTATGATAAGAGCCCAAAAGAGACACCCTACCATACGATACAAGTACAGTAATACCCCAACAAGAGATACAGATAGACTCAATAAAATGTAAAACAAATTTAAAACATGCAGAAAACAAGTAGCTAGAGACAAGCCAGTTTAGTCATGCCTCTTCCTCTAGTTTTAGGAGCAGAACCAGAACTTTGAAGAGTCGTGTCATTGCCAGGAGTCACCAAAGTATCATCCATTAAGTTTCCAAGTTGGAGTGAGCCTTCAGCTTTCTTTTTCCCCCGAGAAGTGTAAACATGTCATTCTTCATCTGAAGACTGGCTCATGTGATCCTCGATCTGATTTGATGTTAGCACCGCAGGAGGAAAGACAGTCTTTGCCACCGCGATAAGTTCCAGTGTATGTGAAGAGAAGTGTGAATAGTTCCCTCCGCACCTGATGCTTCCTGAATAGGAGCTGCGGGATTATCTTGATTTTCAGTTCAAACATTATCCTTTGTAGGATGGTCAGGAGAAGGGATCCTAGGGGCAGAAACCAACTCCTGTCTTTAAGTGATTCCCTTCTCAGGTTGGCTGTCATCAGAGTTGTTGGGAGCGCGTTCAGGCACATGGGGTGCACTAATAGTGTGTTCGTGCTTTTGACTATTGGTTCTCAACTGTGGGTGCAATCTGAAACATTTTTCCTGCGGGTGTCTAAACATCTTGCAGTGCTTGCAGTAGTATGGTTTTTGTTCCATAATGATTTTTTGCCAATAACCATTGTGAGCAGATCCAAGTCAAGCTTCTTTTACATCTGGTAGTGTAATATCTCGTTCAATCAAAATCCTTGCAATTGAGGGTCTTGAGAAATGAACTGTATGTAAGTCTACCTGCAAAGATTTTTCAAGAATAGTCCCAATTGCATATAAGATAGGTAAGTCAAAGATATGAAACTTGAGTTCAGGTAATGAGAATCAGATAGGTGCAATTGGGGGTTCTTGACTGAGATCAAAATTGGAGGTCCATTTGAGCAATTTCATATGTTTGCCCTCAATTGTGATGAATTTCTTTGAGAAAATAATCGTGTAATTATCTTCTGTGCTCAGTTGTATCATAACATGTTTTCCGTCGAAATGACCCACCTATCAATCCCCAACCAATTTGAAATCTTCAAAAACCTTTCTGATGATCTTCCTTTTAGGGCAACCTAATTGGAACTTTCCAACTAGTGTAAATTTGTATTTTCCTGCACGAGTTGAAATTTCAGCGTCAGAAAAGAAAATTGCTGGTTTGCCCGCCTTTTTCTCTACTTTTTTTATGAGATTGCAATCTCCATTTCCAACAATAGAATCATGGTAAATCTGCGGGAATACCGTACTAACTGCAAGTTGAAAGGGGAGCTGTGTTTGTGAACCACTGTAGCATAGGAGGATTTGTATATATATTTATTTATGTGTGTGTGAAGGGCGCTGGGTTACTTTAAGCCAGCACAAAATAACGCCTTGCTCAAAACTTTATTTTGACTTAGTATGAGGATGGATCGTTAGATATCCTATCAAGTTGGGCGCTAACTTGTGGTTCTGGTTTAGATTAAGAGAACGTAACCAATAGAAAAATTTATGCAGAACCATGTAATGAATTTAAATTAGAATTTTGCTTGTTCACGGGCATTTAAGAGACATGCCAAATTCTCACTTGATTGTGGTGTTATTATTTAAGGTTTTGTTAGGATGTCACCAGTAAGTGACAAACCAAGCCTGATTTTAATATGTGTAAACTAAGCAAGTGTTAGCTAGAAGGGTGGAATTGTTCTATAATTGGACTGTGATATCATAGATGCTTTTCAATATGTGTATATATATATATATATATATATATATATATATTATGGATCTAGCTAATGTAAATACATATACTAATATGTATTCTCTTATTACTTTGTTTAGCTTACATATACTGGACCAAGCTCTAGCTTTGTTTTTGTTATATTACTTTTCTTATTGCTTGGTATTGCCACATAATAGTTGGGTTTTAAATAATTTCTTCAACTAAATGGATCGGCCTTCTGCCACTTTGGTAAATAACTCATCTTTGAATAGCTGAGAATGTTAGCAAACAATGATTGACGGAAAATTGGACTTGGGTAGAAATACTTTTGAGCGAAAAGTCTTTCATTAAGTGAATTTGGTTGAGCTCTAATTGCTTTGTGCAAAAATCCATTATTTAAGAAAATTTTGTGGAGTGTTTATTCCTACGTTTTGATATTTTTTTTACTGTATCTCCTTGTAACTACATGTTCTCAATGAGCGCTGTAATTCTTGATAATACTTGGCTTAAAAATACATTCTTGACAATTACAGAGTTGTTTCGTGATCTTGTTTGCTGCTTCTTATGGTGATACAATTGCATGGCAAATGTTATCTGCTTTTATTTGTCTATTGTTTTATGTAAATGACATCTAGAACAGTTTTTGTTGAATTTTACACCAGATTGGAATTTGATAACCCTGAGAGACCTGAATGCAACAATCTTCTATCAATTTATCAGCTTGTTACTGGTTGGACTAAAGAGGTTTGAATTCTGAGCACATTCATATTTCGTTTTGATCGTCCTCTGAAAAATACTAAATCGCTTCTTTTTGGAAGAGTTTATTACTTTATTTATTATCCATACTATGAAAAATTTAAATAGTTCTTTCTTTCAACAGGAAGTTGCGTTGCGATGCCAAAACATGAATTGGGGGGCTTTCAAGACGATCCTTACAGATGCTTTGGTCAATCACCTGCACCCAATTCAGGTTATTTTTTAGGGGCATTAACTTACATAGCACACAGTTCTTCTGCATTTACATATCCCACGCATAAACTTCTATATTTACGCACATAGCAAACATGTATGCATTTACATAAACTCAATTCTTTAATCTTACAGAAAAAATAGCACTATTAGTGCTTATAAAAAGTCAAACACACATTTTCATGCATATGTTTTAAACTCCAAAGTGTTATGTATACAAATATGGAAGTATAGGTGTGTGATATGTAAATACATAAGAATTACGTGCTATGTAAAATTTCCTTTTTTTATATATGCATAATGATTTTGCTTCAGAAGGCATACATGTCTGCATAAATGAACACATGCATGGAAAATAAAACCATGCATAGACCTTTACACTGATGGAATCATTTATCCTACGAGAAAGTATGACACATCAAGGTTTTTTGCGCTAGCAATATGTCAGGGTCTATTATCACCAGGCGAGTGCCATTCAGTATTTATGTTTATAGTTTAGTGAAGAGCCAATGCTAAATACAATCTTATTGAGTTATTTTTGAAGTAAAATGAAAAGAAAAAAAAAACACAATAACAATAAAATCAAAACACAAAATGATTCGCATGAAAGGTTCGATTTGTTATTTTATTCTGAAAATCAAAGACACTGGGCTTATAAGAAATGCAGAGTCTGGTATTTATGATTAATTTGAGTTATTTGTGTTGAAAACTTGAAGAACAGCACACAGTTATGTCTATTCATAAATAATAAATCGAATATTCTTGAGGATGATTAGACAATTATATAGTTATTGAATTTTTGGGACTACCTAGTTCCAATTATGGACATTTAAGGTCAAGAGGCTTGATCATTGAATTTTGACAGCTCAAAATGTATCTTTATTTATCATTTTCTAAACATATTGATGTTCTAGATTAATCTGACATAATTCTAACCAACTAGTAACATTCTCCTCACAGCTACCACTTATACTTCAAACTTGTAATTAAATTTTAAATTAAACTAAATAATAAAAACAATTGTTAACTGTTAAGTTTTTAAAAAAGTATAACTTCAGGTCACCTATTAAACTCAGAAGGTAGATGTTTAATATTGATTATTTTGATAGTTGGATGGTGTGCTTTAATATACTATGGAGAACTGCTGCTTTCAGCTGGTTCCTCTATGGATTTATGGATAGTGTTCTTACAAGGTGAGTGCGTGGATTGGTTTAGAGGGCTATGCCAAGGGGAGGATAACATTTGACAATTATAGCAGATCGGAGAGGTGGCTGTTTTTTTTGCTTTTTTGCTTTTTTTTTAATTTTTTTCATTTTGAGCAAAAGTGATTGTTAATGTAGGACATTATAGAGAGTTTAGGTGAATAGCGTTTGGGTATAACAAAGCTCTTTCAGTGGCATGGTGTTGGGCATTCAATGGTGTTTAGCACTAGCACCACAATGGCAGGATGTTTGGGAAAGAGCTGGAAATCATATGTCAAGACTTGCGAGCCTCAGGGCTGAGCCTGAGAGAAGTACAACATTCTGAAGTTAATATATTATCTATGTCCAAATCATTTAAACAAGATATTTGGTCATTGCACCTAAAAACTTCTGCATTGCCACAAATTTTGATAAAATGACTGATAGTTTTTCATTAGTTTTAGGGTCTGTTTGGGGCAGCTGTAGCTTCTTGAATAATCTGCTGATAAGCTAATTAAAAATAATCTGGTGATAAGCTAGGTGCGGTGGCTATTACAAATTTTTATTTTTTTGAAAAAGTCATACCACAGCCAGAAAACTGTCATTGCACCTAGACATGTGCGGTGTGAAAACGCTGTTTTCAGCGTTTTGAAAACGCATAAGCTACCAAAACGCAGTTTACCCAAACAGGTCAGGTGCATTTTCAAAATACTACCGCACCAAATAAGCTGCCCTAAAGACTGATAGTTTTCATTAGTTTTATTTTTCCGTGCATACCCTCATTCTTTAAGTACCATATGTGAATTTAGCAACATAGGTATATGGGGCCAAATTGGGTTCCGGCGCGTGTATTTCCACAGTGGGGGCTTTGGGGCTACCTGGCTCCATTGGCCAGACCCATGGCCATTAGATAAAGCACATTACATTTTATTTTTTTCTCCACTTAGAGCTAAACAAAGTCTCCATAAGTCATTTTTCTATTGGATTCATGATAGAGATTTGAAGGGGAGGTCAGGAGAAGAAGGAACCCATCATTATTTAGCTTTCAATAGTGCCACAACCCATCATTCTTTTATTTTATCGCTTATCATCATTTTGACTTCCATCATGATGCCCTCCATCGCATTTTACGTGCAGTGCTATCTACTCGTTCTCTATCAATCACAATGTCATTGGTAGCTATTTGCATAAATATTGAGTGGTCGAATTTACCATCTGTGGTTTGCGCCATCTCTGTACAAAGAAGAAAGTAAAGTGTAATCAAATATCCATTTTGTTCATTCAATTGCATCTGAATATATTTGTTCTCGTTCTCAGGACAAATTGACATTATTTTATCATGGAGATGATCAGAGGCATTCTTCTTATATATTTTTTAAATATTATATAGTGTCCCTACTCCAAAAAAATTATGGGTTCTCTTCTAATTTAAGGAGTTGGGTAGGGGTTCAAATTTGGCCCAAGATTGAGCATAACTCAAAAAACTTTTGTTTATATATATATATACTACGAGCCAATCTCGAGTTAGTTCGAGACGATCCATGTAGTCCATGTATGGCTGAAAATCGGCTAAAAAAAATTTGATCCAAAGTTTCGGCTCATAGCTTGGCTTGTTTATTCCGATATGATCTCTATCCAAGCTAAAATTAAAATCAATTTTCGAGTGATTAACGATCTTCGAGCTAAATTCATAGCCTTTTATGTTGATTATCTTACTCGATCATTCATGTTGCTCTCTTGTTTGGGTTTCTGTTACGAGACACCTAAGGGAAATTTATTTATTTTTATTATTTATTATTGTTTGGTATAATGGCTTAATAGGTTAGGGTTAGGGGGATGCACGAGATTGTAATCTTGAGTCTTAGGTTTAGGGTTCGAGAAAGGTTGCCTACTCTCGAATTTTAGGTGTTGGGAGAGATCGCTTACCTTTCAAAGTGTTGGTGCTCATCTTTTTGTATTTGGAGTTGTTTTATTTTGATTTGATATAGATGGAATAAAATATATTATTTCTACCTTAATCTCTGTGAAAAATAGATGTTTCATACCAAATTGGTATCAAAGCTGTTGGTTTCTGGGAAAACCACTTAATCGCAGCGTAAAGTCGTTGCGACCTAACTCATGAAATCTCTCTTTACTAAAGAGTGACTTGTATTCATACATGCTGTAAATTGTCACTCGTTGATTATTTAATAGCAAAATATGTTAAATTTAGAACATCGCATACAAAAGGAAAGAAGTCTTGATTTTATCACTCTCGTAAAGGTGATATGGATGGGCATCAGTCCAACAAAATAGAGTAGTTAGCCTTTCTAATGTCTATTCTAGGTTCTTTAAGCATTTTCTATTACTTTCTTTGTTTATGACGATTTGGAAAGCATTCAAATCCATCCATAAGGCCAAGCATTTTTTCAAGTAGAGCGATGCAATATTTGAAGTCATGATTATTCTCTAATGGATTAGCTCTCTGCAAACATTTTTTGAGAACCTATTTAGGACCATTTATCCCAATTCTTATTGTATGGCCAAGCTGTTTTGGCACGAAATAAAATCATGAAGTTTATGAGATTGACAAAACTATCATGCATGCGTGTTTTCCTATTTGCATGGAGGAGATGCAAATGCAGTACAGTGCTCTGTATAGCTCGTTATTGCAATTCTTATTGTATGGCCAACCTGTTTTGGCACGAAATAAAATCATGAAGTTTATGAGATTGACAAAACTATCATGCATGCGTGTTTCCTATTTACATGGAGGAGATGCAAATGCAGTACAGTGCTTTGTATAGCTCGTTATTGCAAATATCAAAATTTTGGCCTATGTAACACACCATTTCTTATGTTCATTTTGCCTACAAGCCATCAGTGCTTGCAATATGATTCAATGATATTTGCGTTGAGTGTTTACCCGATCATATGAGGATCTTATCTGGGGGTGTAAAAAAGCTTTGCCAAACTCGAGTCCTGCCTAACTCGAGCTCAGCTCATCTTTCAAAATGCATACTCGTGCTCAATCTCATATCACAATGATGATTGTGGGCTCACAAGCTTGAGCCAAAAATCAAATTATAACTAGAGCTCACTGGAGAAGGCTTCAATGGATGGAGAAGACGACGAATGTCACGACAGCTTGCCAGAGAAGACATCTGACATCTACATGACCATTGAACGGTTAATCAATCCGACTCGCTAGTTGATGAGTTTAGACAAACTTGAACTCCAACTCGTTTAATAAACGAGCTTAAGTTTGAGCTCCTGCTGTAGCTCGAGGCTCCACAAGCTTCATTAACAAATTGAGCTCTAGTCAGCTCGCGAGCCGACTCAGCATCCTTGCAGTCCTAATTCTATCACTTGCTATCATCACAGTAGTCCACCTCACAACTTGAGTCTAATCGTAGTTAGCACTCTCTCTACCTGGATTTGGTTTGAGACCCCCCAATTATTAGGATTATCTCGTAATACTTCGACAGCTAGGGAAGATCATCAATTCAACACGCTTCTTGAATTCAACTATAGCAAGTCAGCTGCATATAGTTGACAGCGAATGATCATTAACGCAGTCAAAAAGCATCTTGACGACATCGGTTTCTCGATGTCCATATGTCAATATGTATCCATCCAAAGCACCATTTGCTTCCTCATTCTTGTGGATCATGCTATTTGCTGACCAACAATTGTCTTACATCTGGTTATTAGGGTATGTGACAATCCTTTCTAAACCAAAAGTTTAAGTCGATTAGAGAAAGCTTACACCATGTATTCTTGCACCATATTTTTCAAATATCAAATAT